CAATATTTTTAAAAATTTTGAAACAAAGGCATGCAACTGTGTTAAAATACCAGAAGCTAAAAAGTAAAGCACCCTATTATCAAAGCTTTATAGCCTGATTATGTATTCCGCTTTTTCAGTCATCTTGTTTTTTCATTTTCAAATTGGAGTTCTCATTTAATTGAAACTATCTTCTTCATATAATTAGATTAGTAATTTTATAAATTAAATTTTTCTCAGTTTCTTGCAAAATTTTCGTCTGAAATCGCCGACTTCAAAAACAAAACGAATAAATGCTTACTAAATATTGAAAAAATTTTAAAGAAAACGAGGTACAGAATATGGTAGAATTTTTCTCACTTGAAAATTAAACTTTATATGCTCATATGCTCTATCACTTTCATTTCATTCGGCGAGTAAAACGGCGAGATACATATTTAACATCTTAATCTTGCTTTAAATTGAGTTTAGTTATTCAAGCCATTTAAATGAGATATGTAAAACAACATATTTCTTACTGTTATATTCTTATTGTTATATTAATCTAATTAGCTATTATAATTTTAGTTATACATAAAGCAACACAAAATTTGTTTCAAGTACATATAAGGATTGGCCAGAATGTTAAAAAAGATTCACCTGTGAGTGCATATTGTGTATACATGAAAAGCTGCTTTTTATAATCACTTGTTTTTATTAAAAACTTATTTTATTTATTTGTGTTCTGTTAAAATTAACTGCTTTGCTTAAGATAATCAAATAACAAACGATATACATAAATAAATTAATCGAATTTTGCAAATGATGATAACTTTCGGCTTTTTGTATTAGATTAATCAATTATAATAATGTTAAGAACTTACTTATACGCAATTTATCTTAATAAAATGTTAAATAAGTTTGATATTTTAATGTTTTTAACAAAGCGTTAACATTCACTTCTATAATGTAAAATATAATGTTAGAAGACAAGGTCGAATATATTTTTTTTTGTTTTCTCTTAAAAGGTTAATGTCTTCTGTAAAATTCTATACTATATATACAAATATAGTATAATGGTGTATAAAAGATTTTTGTCATATTGATCTTGTTCTGATGATTGACATAAAAATAATGTACGGTAATCAAAATAAATTTCATAATATATTTAAGGTTATTTGTCAATTTTAATGTTTTAATTTGTTTAAGGTAATTTTGAAGATTTCCTCACTCAAGCGTATGGATTAGATTTACAAATTCAAAAGTTAAGATAAAATGTAATTATTATCAAACTCTTCGTACAATTTGACCTTAATTATATTATTATAGTTCATCAATATTTTCATTAATAAATTTTGTAAATTACCAATTCCAAACTAATGAAATTTAATAATAACCACATACATAATTTCTTCCGCAAAAAATTCTAAATAATTTTAGGGTTAACAAAATCATTTGAATAATGAACTTGTTACTCACATTATAAAATTAATTTTAAAATATGGTCATCTTATTCATTTAGATTTAGAGTAAAAATTTTAGGTATACAAGTTTGTTATATGTGAAATAAAAATAATGCTGAAAGATGTTAACTATTTTGATAAGAATTGAATTGGTGATCACAACATGATTCAGATTAGTATGAATAATTTAATTCTATGCTTGTTAAAGATGAAAAAAACTTTATGTTTTTTGAATATTTTGCAAAAATTTGATCAAAAATTTTACGAATTTTCTTTGAACTATTATTTTTGTAAATAATATCAGTATGTTATTTCGATTTCCTACATAGTCATAAAATATTGCTAATGATGTTGTAGTTTTTCTTAATAAACATATAAAATTTCAAGTTTTGTTATTAATTGTTGTACTCATTTTAATATAATTAAATTCTCTTTGTGTGCTAAATAAAATTAAAATCGTACGCTTTACAAAAATGAATGAAATTTCTTGTAAGCAATTACTTATACATTTAAATGCTGCGAGAAATAAACAGAATAGTTTAAATAATATTTGGAAACAAGGATGAGATCTAATCTACACGGAGACCGATACCGACCTATTTTGCTCTCCTCTAAGTGCAAGACAATTGTCGTTATGACATCACGTCTTTAGAAACAATTTTTTTTCCAGTTTTTCATTGCCACCAGGAAGACATTATAGGAGTTATGCCTCTCTTTTATCATAATAGTCATTAGGTATATAGACAGATGACCTATATAATAACGATTTATGGAACCTGCCTTGTGGATGTCACCTGCCGCAATTCATAAATCGTTATTGAACAACGACAGCTGACAATCAGAAAAGATAATAGCCATGAAATCTATGTCCAAATCAGTTATCAAAATTATTTACAATTCTCATATTCGGCATAATTTTAGATTTTTATACAACACATTAACCAAAGAATTATTCATCCGAATTTGAATATAATAGATTTAAAAAAAAATTATTTGATTGTCTGGCAGAAAACATGATTTCTTTTAAAATGTTTTATTTCATACAGAATACACGAATTACTTGTTAAAGTACACGATGCAAAAATTTTAAGAAACAATGAAGGTTTCATACCATTTGAACAAAATATTTTTCATATTTTTCAATATTGTTCAATATTTAATTTTTTGATTGAAATTTAATTTTTGAAATTGTTCAAAACAATTGATAATAGATCTTGTCATTTTTATAAATCATTTGGACATATAAATTGTTTAAGTTGACAAGACGTATATGTGTGTTGTGTAGCCATAAAAGTTATAACGCGGCAATAAAAAAAAAGATTTTTTCTTTTTAATTATTTGAATTGCCTCAAGTATAATTCCTCTTTATTGCAATTACAATGAATATAAAATGAATTTACATGGAAAATATTCGAAAACAAAAATTATTTAAAAAATTAAAATTTATTGATAAAAATAATAATTCCATTTTATCTTTCATACTTTTAGTTTCTTTGAAACAAACAAGAACAATTCACTTATAATATTATGAAATTTCTATTATACGTAAATGTTATATGCATGCATTTCAAGGTTAATATTATTAATAATACTTTATACATCCGCTATCAATATACATATTAAATTTTCAATTTCCGAAGCATTACTAAACCCTTTAAATGATTTATATGAGAATAATAAAATCAAAAAACCTACTTAATTAGCGTAATACGCAGTGTTAGGCTATTGATTCAAATATTTTTATTAAAATTCAGCAACATTATAAAATTTATGAGTGACACAGTAGCGATTAGTTGACCTTTAAAAAGAAAATTTCACAAAATTTTAATTCTTATAGCAAAGCTAATTGTTCATCGGATAAATAAAAGATAAATTTATGTACATATAAGTATATGTGACATAAAGCACGACGACGATAATTTTGAAAATATTAAATCAAAACTGTCATAATAAAAACCATAAAAATATATGGTCGGTGTATAAAATTAAAAGCGACTAATTACAATTTTTTTAGTTTTTCAACGAGAATTGCAAATTAAATTGTTATAATGTAATACACTTGTAATAGGGTAGAGTAATCCTCAAAATGTATTGCTGATATTGGTAACAAACATAATAATATGGTCTTAGTTGAATTTGACCAGCTTTTTACAAAAACACTTATCAAATATAGAAGAACTTTAACCGTATGAAATTTTTTTAGGGCTGAGATACACACGCAATTATTTTAGTTTTGCAACTGTTTGATTGCTTATTTGTATTATGTTCAAGCGGGCAAATATGCAAGTAAGCAGGCGTTGGTCGCTTGCAATTAAGCATTTAAACAGTTTTAAATTTTTTTAAAAACTGATTGCAACTTTGGTTTAATGGATTGGATTTGAATTGAAGCTATGGTTTAGTTTATAAGATTCGCGACCGACGATTCAACAATCAAGCAGCAATTGCAAAACTAAAAATTGCATATTTACCTTACTGGGAAGGAATATTAAAATTTTGTTAGCGTTTCAAACAAAATATCATTTTTGTATTTAATCGGTTTTTGTTTTACGAGTATATTGTCCATATTATAACGAATGCAGTATAATCTATGCGGTAAATGTAAACGCAAGTAATATATCAAAATAAAGTTGAAACTTGTAAAATTAGAATAATAAATTAAGCTTTTAAATTAAAAAAAAAATTTTCTTTGATGTTGTACTTTATTAAATCATTTAATTCGGAATCGGAAATAAATTAAGAACTTTATGAATAATGCGTAGTAAACACAAACGCACAGACAATAAGTTGTTGCCCATATATGGAAGAGGATGTTCTTGAAATAAACTTAAAACTAATAAAATATTATTCATATGAGTTTATTACATAATTTAAATATCAATTTATCAGCTAATTTAGTTAATTGATTACTAATTAATGGGAAATTATGGTCATTAAAGTTAAATAATAAGAAAGATATAAAAATTTATAGGACCCAAAAATAAAAAAAACTTATTATCCACGATACTGATAACATGTTCAGGTTCACCAATTATGGGAATATTATGGGAACACATACCCATATGTATGTATAGTTGACTACCTGAACTTGAAAAGTAATAACATTTTATTGACCCTAAGATCATATGTGATTTATTTAATTGTCTGGCTACTATATTTGAAAGCTTTCATAAAAAATTTTTTCTAAATTTTTCTTTTTTTAATTTCACTTTCTTGAAAAACACCTCATCATTTGTTATTATTTTTTTCTTTTTATTTTTATTTTCATTTTTTTGTGAAAAAAAAAAAATTTTTTTTTTTTTGATTGAAGTTAATCGTTTGATGACAAACCTTATTAAGGTTGTAATACCAGCGCAACTGGTTTAAATGGTAGCATACTAAAAGCTTGTATTTTTAATAAAAAATTTTTTGAAAAACAAAAAAAAAACAAAGAATTTTTTTTTAATATTTATGAATTTTTTTTTTTTATCCAGATTTTTAAAACTATAGAAGCAATTATCTAATATGTAGCAATAGTTTGAAAAAAAAAATTTTAAAATTTTAAAATATACTTTAACAAAATCCGGAATAGCGGTAAGTACAATGGCGTATCAGAGTATTATGAACGTGAATTTGGTATAAGAATTTGGAAAATTGAAACGAAAGTAAAAGTAAACATTTGTCTTTTTTGTAAAAATATAGAAACGTGAATAACAAGTGAAGCTCATGCTAGTTCCGTTTTGTTTGGTTTTCTAGGAATTTTTACGCACAGATTTGTTTTTATTTTATAAACTTAAGATAGTACTCAAGCTAAACACGCAGATAATTACGTTTAATTACGTATAACTGAATTAATGATAAAATTTTTTAATTTTGTTTCAATAAAAGAATTGTTTAGGGTAAGCAGAGGCTGAATACATTTGTGCATTAAATACACGGATAAATTCTTATACGTACATGTATGTAGATTTGTAAACAAACATTGTAGATGACCAATATTAATATTTTTCATATGCATAAACTCAATTAAGTATTGTGGCAAAAAATGCATGCTAAATTGTTTAACTTGCAATGAATCTAAATTGCAATAAAAGACATTAATAATAGAATTTTTTATAAAATAAAAATTTTTTGAATGCACTACGCGCTTAATTCCTATTAATTGCGCATTTAAAACCTTCAAAACAATTTGAGAAGTTATGTTTCGTAAAATATTGCTGGGAAATAATAAAAATGCATCAAATACATAGAGGTACTTTCAGCATAAAAGAATATCTCTGTTTTCTCAGATGATTTTTCTAAAGATTTTAATCGTGTAATAGGATCGCTTCTTTGAGACAATTCAAAGAGAATATTTAGTTGCATACGTGAAAGCTAATTATTTAATTGTTGTTTCATAGAATAATTTTGTTAATATATCATTTGCATCTTATTGCCTTAAAAATACATGAACATACTTATACCTATAAATTTCAGCTTCATAATAGGTTATTGATATTATAAGTAATGGCATATATAAAAATCGTCATAAATTTATGGCGTAAAAAACGTGGAACATATCAATTTGCATAAAATTTCAAACAAGTTTTAAATAAAATAAAACCACTTAAAAAAATTTTATTTTAATAATTTTTATACTGCGTTTCAGTAATATTTTGGGAAAGCTTTGCAAAAATGAGAGAGGAAATGAAGATTTTCAAGAAAATATAGTAAAATATAGAAAATGAAGAAAGAAGTGATGCTCTAGAATGCTGAAAAGCTTTTAATTGAAGATTATGTTAAAAATAATTGTATTATTGGAAATGATTAACCCTTTAGTGCTTGGAGAACTATGTTGAACCAATTTTTCATTTTTTAAATTCTTATTTTTATTTCTTATCAAATAAGTGTGAAAAATAACTTTAATATGGTTAATTGCTCCAGTCTTTCATTTACTTATACTTGCGTTAATTAAAAAGAAAATTAATGCTTATAAATAACGCTTGCATTTTTTCTGTTTTACATATCCGCTATTAATTTTTCATTAAAAAAAAAAATTTTATCTACACAGATATTGATTTTCAGTTTTATTGATTTTTGCAAAATTTTGTACTTAATAAAAGCTTTACTTTTGTTTCGATCAAACCAAAATAATATTAAAGCTGCAAAAACGTACACATAAATGCTGAAGCATAGAGAAATAGATAAAACAAGCTTTTAAACTAATTTTGGTGTAGACCTGATTTTGTTATTATATATTCAATTTTTAAAATATTTATTTCTGGAAGGTCAATTTTTATGATATAATATTTAAAATTAAAAAGAAAAAAAAATATTTGTAGTTTTGGTATAAATATTGATGTAATCTGAAATTCTTATTCAATATTCCGATTCTGCTCGAAGGAATCAAATATAATATTCGGAATGGTAAAGCTAAGCTTCAATTATACTCTTAAATAAATAAAATTTTTAAAGGATTTAACGTTATAACACTTGGATACAAAATGGATTAATTTTTTTTTTATATTTGACTTTTGTTTCACTTCAGAAAACGCTTCTTGTTGTGTTAGCTGTATTTGCAGCGGTAACTGCTGATGTATCACATCTTACTGGAGATGGATATCATTATGATCCTCCAGCAGTAAAATTTGATGAAGGCTCACCACCAGCCCCACCACCACCACCTCCACCGAAACCGATAGCACCACCACCAAGACCACCACCACCACCACCACCGCCTCCAAAGCCCAACAATGAATATTTACCGCCATCCAAACCAGCTCCTCCTCCACCACCTCCACCAAAGGCTAAACCACCACCACCACCTCCACCACCACCGCCACCACCACCTCCACCACCACCACCACCACCACCAAAACCAAATAATGAATATTTACCACCATCCAAACCGGCTCCACCTCCACCACCAGCACCAAAAGCTAAACCACCGCCACCTCCTCCACCACCACCACCACCACCACCTCCACCACCACCACCACCGCCACCACCACCGCCACCACCACCAAAACCAAATAATGAATATTTACCGCCATCAAAACCAGCTCCTCCTCCACCACCAGCACCAAAAGCCAAACCACCACCACCACCTCCACCACCACCTCCACCTCCACCACCACCACCACCACCACCGCCACCACCACCACCACCAAAGCCAAATAATGAATACTTACCACCTTCAGAACCAACAAAACAAGATGACGGTTACCACTACAATCCTCCAGCTATCAAATTCCTCTTCTAAAATTAAATAATTAACTTTTGTTTTATGTAGATTAGATAAATTTTGTTAAATAGAAGTTTTATAAACACCAAAAAGTTGAAAAAAAAAACATTTTATATAAACATTTATAATTGTGTAAATATGAAAAAAATAATGAAATTTAAGAATGAAATTAAATAACTAGTTAAAGCTACTAATATATAAGGAATATTATGTGATGTACATATTTAAAAAGAACAAAGAATAAAAAAAAAATATAAAAAAATTAAATTCAATAAGTGGTTTTTGTTTTATTTAAAATAAAAGTATAAAGTTGTGCTATTAAAAATAATTTTATTCCAGTTGATCCAGTCACTATGCCAGTGATCCAGTCGAGAAAAAATATATGATCTGTTCGATTTATTTAAATTTCCAGATGAAATTTAGTAATATTAATCAAAGTGGATTCCTCCCATAATTTGTAGGATTAAATTGTATCTACAAACCCAGAGTTCGATTTATTCGAAATTTGGAGCAGAAAATGCATGTTATCATAATTTGAATGTTGATTTAAATTCTTGAATCCTCTTATTATTGTAAATTGGAAAATAGCTCCTAATACTCTAAATCTTCGGGAATTTTAGCACATATTCAAAAATGATAATTGAAAGTGTTTGTTATAATACAAAACAAATCTTTTTCTTAATTACTATTCTATATAAAAACTAGTTCATCTAGTATCTAAGTAATATAATGGGTACAATGATTAAAAGGTTTTCTAAGAATTTTTAATTACCTTGAAGATATATATTATTAACCTTACTTTGTTAATTTTAACATATTTCTATTTAAGATATTATTAACACAGGAAAAGGAATTGGTTTACTTTACATTATAAGTGTTTCAGGCTTTTAGTTTAGGCGCTCTAATTATCTAGATTAGAGATATTGTAAAGAAAATTACTAAATGCAACAAAATGTGTATTTCGTATATTAGTCAGAATTAACTGACAACTAATCAGTATAACAAATTCCAAAATTATGTTTTAAATAAAAATTATTATTCATGCAATGGCAAACAGCTATAGAAACTTTTTCTTGTCTTCTAGTAGATGAAGTCTTTATTATAAAAAATCGTTCGATTCTGCAACATAACAAAATAATGTAGTATAAGTATTATAAAGTACAAGAAGAGAAGTACTGTTTATATTTTTTTTATAACAAAAGCAAAGCACGTAAGAGATAGCTTAGACTAGACTCGAGAAATCTTAATACAAAATATAAGTAGATTAACGTCGCTTTTTATACTTGGTCTGGCTTTATTATTCTGCTTTAGCATAGTTTTACTATCTTCGAGTTAAACTCACGTACATTCGCAGTAGTTGATGAAAATTCATTAATTTTTAATTTGAAATATAACACAAAACAAAAAGGTTTTTTTTTTCAACTGTTTATTTTGATTTTTTCTTGAGTATAAAAACTAGTTCATCTAAATGGCGATTAATAATAATTATAATATACGTAAGTGATAGTTCCATTATGATTTAAATTTTTTTTTTATGAATATTATTATGAAAAGATGAGCTAAGATTTTAAATTGAGCATAAAAATTTGAAAATTTTTGTTATACATACTAGTCTCGATATTTTAATTAGAATCTTTTATAATTTATTGCTTAATTTAAAACCAATATTTTTTTGTTCAATATTTTCATAAGCGTTTATTTGATTATTTTAAAAATTTTTAGTTACACGTTCATTAAGAGGTTTTATCTAACAAATCTTCATTCACTATATTATATATTTTAGAATATTTTTACATTAATTACCTCATAAATAAACTAAGCAAACTTGATTAAATTGCATACGGACAATTTTTACAAAATATGTACGAAGGGCAGGCCGACATTGCTCTAAAAATAGTTTATTTACTCTTCCCTTAAAGTTTTAGAAGTGCGTTTCCACCGAAAACTCGTTATGCAAAAATTGGTGCCATAACCATAACCTCCCTCATTGTATACAATATGGTAGGTATAAAAATTTAGAAGCAAAATAAAAAGTTTATAGTTACTTAAAACAATATGTCTGTGGATGTTTATCAGAATGCAACTAATTGCCGACTAGAACTAGCTGCCAATTTGATTTTTCAAACCAAATAAATTTTAATTGCTGAATCAGTTGAATAGATGTGAATGCTTAATATTTTTTTAAGACAATTTAACGAGATTATGTATTGTATGAGATCAGCACCTGAATCAAATTTTAAATTAAATTAATTGATCGGTACTTTAAATCAAACTAAAACGGTAAGCCTTATTTTTGGCCATCAAAAATGTTCTTTCTTCCTTAATAGTTGTACTCTATAGTGTTAGAAAATCAAGTAGATGAATATGAATTTGATAATTGAAGTTCTGATAAATTATTTTTTAATAATACATATAAATAAATAATTAGTTTTCTCTAGATGAAAAAATATGTTGGATAGTGCCACAAACTAAGTTTAAAAGTTAAGTTTCATTTCAATTGGATCTCTGATAGTGCAGCCGAATTAGTACTACAACCTGGCATAAAATACTCTTTTTTGACAAGGAAAAGAGTATTGGATTTGAAATTGCTAAGAACTTGTTATTTTGTTCTTTTTTATTACCTATAAATAAATACGCTTATCATATACAAGAAATATAGTTAATTCCAAAAATTTATTCTAAACTAAAGATAATTAAACTCTTAATTTTTATAACCTTGAACTTTAAAATCAAAATATTATAAAACATACATTACAACACCTACAAATTTTATTTTTAAATAAAAATATTATAAACTAGCAAGTTAAAACTTATAAAATTTAATTAATAATAAAACAGCCGGATTCAAATTAAATTATTTATTTATATTATAGTTGATTTACCCATAGATTCATTTATTAATTAATTAGTGAACAGGTCTTTAAACTATTTTTGTAATAGATTACAAGTTTATGGTTTGGAAATAGTTTATAATTAAAATCATTATAATAATGATGTTGGTTTTAAGCCCGGAATTTATAGAAAACCCTTTATGAATTAATTGGTTAAAATTAAAATTTTTATTACAATCAAACTAACAAAAAAGTTGTGTACTATTTAAAGGGCTATTTTATTAATCAATTTATTAATATAATTTTTTTTAAATCTATCAAGAATGTCAAACATAATTTTAATATACAAATCGCACATTTTGCAAATTACTTTATATAAAATTATTATAACACATTAAATTTTATAAGTAACGTCAAGAGCTAGTCTTGATTTTAGGTGATTTAATTATTTGACAGAGTTATACCATTGATTGAAAAATTTGAATACCGAAATCAAGCACCTAACCATAATTTCATTTATTTATTTTCTGTACCCGATACATATTATGCTTGAGCTTCTTTTACTCTGTATTACATTTCGGAACGTCTTTTGTTTTTGAATCTTCGACTGGCTGTATTATAACATACCGAACAATATTCTTCCTATAAAGAGGTAAATTTACAAAATTCTTAAAATAATACTAAATACAATTGCCGATTTTTATTTTCCTATCTTACATTTTTTTTATGAATTATTTCGTTTAGAATTTCCCTTGAACACACTCAATTTCAAAGTTTTCTGCAATATTTTGATATTTGCTTAATTGGTTTCATTCGTCTCTCAATTAGGTTTAAATCAGGGTCATTTGTAATACCGTCCTTCTCGAAACCGTTAATTTTTTCCTCTTCTCTGTCAATTCTAGAGAAATATTTTACTCTAATCTTTATTGTTTTTCCCCTTTTAAGATATTGTTATTTGCTACAGAAAATTGAACCATTCTCTTTGACTGGTTCATCTGATAAATAAATAAAATTACATAACGATTTGTTATTAATTTTTTTTTAATAATATTACTTACCGCAGAAAATAGTTTTTTAATAAGAATATAAATAAAAAATAGCTACTTCTCACTATGAAGACGCCAAATTAAAAATGTAGCACACGTTCAACGTGTGAAGCAATAATTATTTATATACTAAATCTAAAATATTGAAGATATTTTTTGATTCTTTCTTTGTCCACTCCATGGTCTATTTTGATTTTTCTGTTTCATAGAAATTGCAGAAAATTGTGACCTTAATTGACAAACTAGTATGTGTGACGTGAAAATTATGTGTGAATAGGCAAATATTTTTGAATAATGAACGGTTGTGGAAAAACTATCTTTTTTCTCCAAAGTGCCATCTTCAATTGGTTATATATAACACATATCGTTAATGCATATAACCAATTGAAGTTAGAAAAAGTTGCGAACAACACATTTCTCTAATTTTAACAGGAACTGTTACGGAACATTTTTTCAGAATTTGTCAGAAAGAATCTGATTTTTTTTACCCTTAAATACCCCAATTCAGCCCCTCCCCCTCCACCAACAATATCTTTTTTAGTAATAAAAAGCTCCAAGAAATCACCTCCTGCCGGAGTTTTAATACCAATCCAGAATCACTCTGTATAATAATAAAAAATAAAATTAATTATTTGTTGCAAATATTTTTCAATTTTAATTTAGAAAAAAAAAAAAAACAAAATTATTAAAAATGTGCTGATTTTTCATTTGAATATTGAGTGGTAAAGTAATTAATTAAAAAATTTAATTTGATTTTACAGTTTTAGTGTAATTTTCATTTATTTTTCAATATTTTTAATAAAATAACTTTATTAGTATTTTCAAATTTACATTATTCAATTATGATATTGTTTACAACTGAATTTATGAAAATAATGTTATTGATACATAGCTAATGAAAATTTACAACAATAATCATTTTTCACTCTTATTTCCCATGAGGTAAATGTTGTTACTATTACGAGTATTACGAGTATTAATTATTATATTTCCCAGTTATAAATAATTTATTTGTAATTGATTATACCTGCTTTCGTCAGATTATTTTTTCTTGTTCGTTAGATTAACTTTGTATTTCACGTTCTAGTTCTATAGGAGTTCGTACATCTATCAATATTTTGAACTTAGAACTTGAATATGTAAAGTAATCAATTATTTAGAAAATTTTGGGGGTTCTATGAAACGAGAATTTAAATTTTTCTAAAAAAATAATTTTAAAAATGGTAATGTCATCACCTATGCTGTAATTTTTGTCCATTTTTTTTGGAAATAATATTAATACAACTAAGGAATTTGCTGCTTCTATCACATCCTATTCAAATAAAGCGTTTTGATATTAATAAATGTAAATTACTTTTAAATAATTTAATTTAATTAAAATAATTTAATTTAAATAATTGAATTTAATTAATTTATTTCGATGCATTGTTGGATCTTATCGCTTCAACTGACCCAGAGATAAATATTGACATCCATATTTTCTAAAATTTCACAATGAGCAACAATATACATACAAAGATGTTTATATCACAGATCCAGTAGTGAGAAAGTTATGGTATAAATATTTTATTCATAAGCTAATAAAATCTAAATAATACTAAAAACAATTTACGTACCAAAACGCTGACAGGGAAAATAGCATAATTTTTTAAAATTTGTAATCATTATTGTTAAGATAAAGTAAATTTCAATAATGATAAACGTATATTACTATAGACCATAAAATACATACATTTATATTAATACGTAAATGTATATGTTACAATTACAATATAACAGGTAAAATTCAATTAAAAATATGCAGCATATGCTATTATTCAAATGATTCCGATTGATCGATTTTATGCTAATTTATTTTAACTTACAATATTTGATATTATGGATTCCTTTTATAAAATTTATTTAAAATTACATATGTACACCTCTTCAAATGCAAACAGGCTTATATTAATATTTTAATATTGTTATATATATATAATAAACAAATTGTGCTGAGT